AATTGAATCCAGAATTTGCCACTCAGATATTCTCTCTAGCTATTTTGCCCCAGGATCCCCCATCTCTTTCTCCCTTGTGCTAGCATTACAGGATCTAGGATCAGAACTGTGGTCCACATGTTAATTTGGTAAGTGCTTTTATTCACCAGTTGCTCTCCCAATTCTGGTCCTTGGATATTTTGATATGTGGTATTCTGGTCACTTGGAAGTCTCCTGGAGACTAATACCATTGACTGGATCATTGACTTTGCTTAAGCGTGTGTGTGTGTGTGTGTGTGTGTGTGTGTGTGTGTGTGTGTACTCGTGTGTATGTGTGTATATGTGTCTTTCTCCCTCTCTCTCTCTCTCTCTCTCTCTCTCTCTCTCTCTCTCGTGTGTGTGTGTGTGTGTGTGTGTGTGTGTGTGTGTGTGTAGGACACACCATAGCACAGAATTCAGTAGAAGTGGATCTGAAAGAAAGTGATCTCTAGGTTCAGCGGGGAAAGGAGGAGGATAGGCACCAGTCAGGTAGTGTACTTGGTACAAGCTCCCTGCACCACTAGAGGGCAGACTGAGGAGCTGAGTCCCCCACCTCCCTCTTGTCCTGCTAAGGTAGAGAGGTCAGCCTCCTAGAAATCAGACAGCAATTTCCTATGGACACAGGATCACTCATTGAACTTCTGTCCTAGAAAGCTGATTTCATACTGTTAAAATGTTTATGTGATCACTGATTAAATACATATCTACCTTTTACAAATAATAACATAAAAATTTAACACTTAAGTCTAAATTCTTTTGGTCAGTAGAGATGGGGTTTGGATCTAACTTCAGTTACCGAAGGGTGAGGAAGTTTGCATTCCAGGTACCCCCTCTCTCTTCTCTGGTGCCTCTCCTCAGAGCCAGTGCATCTGCTTCTCCTCATAAGTGCCTCAGACTCTGATCAGGATTAGGGTCATCTGTTTAGGACATGCCTGTCAGTGATTGGATGCGCCTGCACATTTGAGGTCAGTGCTAGCTCTGGGGCTGGACATATTTTTAGCTGGGCCTGCTACTCCTCCACACGGCCTGAGCTGAGGACTCTGGCCTGCTTTCCTGGGGATGGAGGAACGGGTGGTTTCCATGCCATGCACCAAGTAAACTCATACTTGGGGAATGTCAGTGACAAGTGATGAGCTTGTAGAACAGCTGCAGTAAGCAGAGCAAGCATATATGTGTATTTGTTAATTTTATTAAAAGGCAGGCCTTGAAGGTCAGATGGACCTACCGTGATGCTGCTGTGTACTTCCTTGCATCTGTGGTGCTCACAGGTGTGGCTGGTGCTGAGGCTATCTGTCTGGGTCTGAGGTCACTGGGGTCTCAGAGAAGGCCTCCACTTCACTGTTGTCTGTGCATAGGGATCTATTCAGATACAGAAAAGGAGGGGGGTCAGTGGGGCTCCTTCAGGAGGGTGAGGGGTAGGCTGGCTTTCCTCCGGGGTGAAGACTTGGCAGGGCTGCACACTTTCTGTGTTGCCTTATACCCCTAGGAGAGCAGCGAACCTGGCACGGTCCCCACTGGACAAATAGGAAAGCTTTTTCCAGTGGGACCTGCAAGAGAAGGAAGGCCTGGGAGGCTTCCTGGGTCGCAGCAATAAGGAAGAGGGGAGGGTTGTAACAAAAGCAGGACCGATGCCTTCCTTTAGGGGACCTAGAATTGTCCGGAAACAGGTATCACCTGACTTTTTTTTTTTTTTTCATACAAGACAAGAAAGGTAGGGAAAGAAAGGAGAGGAGAGGAGGGGTAAGGGAGGGGAGGGGAGGGAAGGGAAGGGACGGAGCACAAAACACTTGCGCTTCTGAGACAGGGTTTCAGTGTCAGCGAGATGGACAATGGGAAGGGAGAGGTCCAGCCAGATGGCACCCTCCTCCTGAAGAACTAACTGGTCCTGGGCAGAGGCCCGTGGCCAAGAACCTGATAAACCAGGCTGGGGCTGCCTAAGAGTCAGGAACAGGGGTTTGTCCAGCACACGAGCCATATGCCTGGCATGTGGGAGCCAACCTCCTCAGTCTTCCTGCCCAGGGCCCATTTCAATGCCAAGAGGTGGCTAGAAGGGTCTGAAAGAAGAGCCAGTCTCCTAGGGTGGGTGGGGTTCAGGAAAAGGAGGTGGCCTGCAGTCTGTCTCACGATAGTTTCCTATGGCTTCCAAGAGGTTTTATGAGTGAAGCTCCTGCCATCTTGTGGCTGAAACTGGTACTGCCTGAACCCCAGTCGAGCTGCTTTCTCCCTGTTCCACAGCACTGTCCAGCTGCCGTAGGTGGGAAGAGTAGCCTGTGAGGACAGGAGGGTTCAGAGAGTCCTCTCTTCACAGTCTCAACAAGCTTTCGGAGGGCCCCGAATTTGGGATGGCCACTCATTCATACAAGAACTGTCATTTGTGAAAAAGAGGATATGAGTAGGCATATCTGCCCATAAAAAAGGGCAGTGTAGGAGGAGCCAGGCCCGGTCCATCTTCCCAAGAGCAGACCCAGCCAGAGGCAAAGAACAGACACAGGGGTGACCTGGGAAGGGGGAAGGGAGCAGAAGACCCCCCAATCCCATCCCCGTTGATCATAATGTGTCAGTATAGTTGAGGTCAAAACAGGGGTCCCCTTCCCAGAGCACGGGGCCCATATAGACAGGGAGGCTCAAGGGAGGGTCAAACGGTCTCTAAGCCAATGCCTCCACAGTGAAAGTGCAGCTCTCTCCGAGGGCAAAGATGTGTGCATTTCTGAGTGGAGACTAGGAAGGTGTGAATGCCACTCACTTAGGCCTTTGACTCAAGTGTGGAGATATAGTCACAGAAGGCAGAGCTGTCACCATCACAGAGATCTGAATCCCTTCACTTACCCTGGGCCAAGAATGTCGAACTCTGAACTTGGCTTTTTCTTTCTGCAAGCTCTCTGCCCCCTGAAGCAGGTAGTATGTTCATGGCTCGGGACTGCTCTTTACTGTAGTATTCCATCCTTACCACCACTCTGTGTCTCAGAGCCAGCTGCTCGTCCAGACGCTGGTGATGGTTTGATGACCTGTTACCACCGCATACCAAGGGCACTGGCCCATCGTCCTTGCAGTGAGGTCACCCCTGACCAATGTAACCATGCCAGCAGCTGCTGACCCAAGTGCTAATCCTCCTGAGGCTCTCTTTCTCTGAAAACTCCGGTACCAGAAAGTGAGCTAGGTGGGGTTCTACCATGAAATGGAGAACTTTCAAGGTACTCCAGAGATGGAGTTTATAGAGGGAATGGGGTGCTCACAGACTTCTTTGCAGGGCAGTTAGAGCAGAGGCCTGGAAAAACACTAGGGTCTGGCATATGGAGTCATCACTGAACCACAGGAACTTATTGCCATGAGACCTCAATTGCCCAAGACAAAAGACTCTCAGAGGTGGCCAGGAGGAACTGTGGCAGTCACTGGTGAGCTCTCTGAAGGTACCTTTTCCCTTCCCAATGACTATACCTTGGAAATCTCCACCTTTCTTTGTGTCAGCCACTTGATTCCACTTTGGTTTCTCCCATGAGTGGGACAGAAGGTGAGTGGGTGCTGGTCCTAGAACCTGGGCAGTGTGGTTTCCAGGCCACCCAGGCATGTCAGGAATTGAGGCAATGATGTCACACATACTTTTTATATGGTTTATATGCTTTTCTTTGGTGGCTGCTGGCAGGTAAAAATTAACACATGAAGTCTTTGCCCAGAGTCTAGCATATAGTAACTCTCAATAATTGCTAGTTCTTTTTTTTTTTTTAAAGCTTTAGTGGGTTAGAATGTTTCCTTGTTCTCATTTCTAACTCCTACAAAAACAAACAAAACAAAAAACCTAGCTGCCTCTGTGTTGTGTGGTCCAGCTGCATGCCTTGACAAGGACACTTGCCCTTGCTCTCCACTTGGGCTGAATGTGGTGAATCTGCCTCCTAGTTAAGAGGACTGAGCAGAAAAGGCCGGAAGCAGTGGGTGGCACTGAGAGCAGAGGTGGGATCCACTGACTGACAGGTGTGAGGGTTCATCTCAGACAGATCAGCGGTAGCCTGGCCAGCACGCTCATCAACGCACAGGCTCGGCTGCTCGGGGCTCATCACTGAGAGTGGGTTTCTAATGCCTTGTACTCCAGTACTGCAGGGCAACTGGCAACAAGACAGAATAGGAACACAGCTGAAATCCAAAAGGGAAAAAGGCAGAGCTGCAATCCACAGGGAGTAATGTCTGTTTCCTAATCTGTCTTCTGCCCCAAATAGCTCTGCTCTCCTCCCCACCTCCACTTGTGTTGACGTGTTTCCTGCCTGGGGAAGCAGATGCTACCAAGACTTAACTGGGTCACAGAGGGCTATGGTGGGCTGATTCAGGCCCACAGACTGTGTCCTCCTCTGAATAGGACCTCCAGGTTCCTGTCTCAGAGCTCAGAGCACAGACTCCAGGAAGCATAGAGTGTTCCCCTCTGTGAGAAGTGGGAGTGGGTGGAGCCTGTCCCTGAGCTGGGGACACAGCTCCAGGCTTACCTGTCTTTCTGGTCCTCCTGGAAAACCAGGGAGTCTCAGGGTCCTGCTGTTATCCTGGAGGAGGTTTGGAGCTGCCTTCCAAAAGCAGGGCTCCTGTCAGTTATGGAGCCATGGGTAGAACATAAATTGAACAAACAAAACATTTGACCATGGGCTCTAAAGCAGGTCAGGGCACTCACTGCCATGCCTGACAGCTTAAGTCCAATCATCAGAGTCCCCAAGGTAGAAAGAGAACACTAACATTCCCAAGTTGTCCTCTGGCTTGCACACATGTACTATGGCCTGCAATGTGCACATGCATACACGTAATAAAAAGAAAATATTTTAAACTCTGATTTACACTCAATTCACACCAAGGCAGATTGATAAGTACGCACATAGAACTGTCTACCAGGGAAAGGTAGAACCAGAGCATGACCTAAGCCATGTGTCCCCCTGCCGGTCATGCTCCCTCATTCTCAGGAGTCCTGTGTCCAGCACTAGGTCCTGAGGTCTCTCCCTCTCTCTCCACAGGTTCTTACAAAGCATGGCTTTGGCCCCATCACCACTGATGTCCGAGAGGGACAGGAGTTCTACTATGCTGAAGACTACCACCAACAATACCTGAGCAAGAATCCGGATGGCTACTGTGGCCTTGGAGGCACTGGGGTGTCCTGCCCAATGGGCGTTAAAAAATAATTTCTCCCCATGATGCTGGCCCTGGAGGTTCCCGAAAACCATGATTGCTGGATGGAGTGGCACCGTTGTGACTCACATCAGTCAATTTCAAAAGCACGCACACACCACACGGGCATTTACATGATCTGTTTGTGATTGGGGTTTGATTTACAGGAAGTGCTATGACAAGCTGATGAATTGTAATTTGTCTTCTGAGTCCGGGTGGGGGTAGAACATGACATTTCAGTGGATCATTTGGGATCTAAATGGAGATAATGAATGCCTTGTGTTCATCTGCTTGGGCTCGAAGGGATGCTAAAGGTTCTGAAGCAGGGAGATGGTTGGGAGGGCACAGGGTACTGGGACTCCTTGGTCTGTGCAGACATACCTCACCCACTCCCCTGCCCTCAGGTGCCTGATTCATTAATGCCTGCAGGCTCCATGAATCATTTGCTAAAACACTTTGTTCTGCCGACCCTAGATGTGTGTAAGGGCTTTCTCTCCCTCCTCCATCCCCTCTCTGTGTGGAGAAAAGACATGAGTGACCTTAATGAATTCTAACATTCTGCTTACAGCTATGAAAAAGCTTGTTCTAATAAAAAATCTGTAGTTTGGTAGTAGCAACTGCCTGCTGCATGTCTGTCTTTCCTTGTTCAGGAAGGATATTTGAAATATTGCAAAGCCAAATTCAGAGCTTTGGAAGAAAACAACAACAACAACAACAAACCCTCCTGATTATTTTCCCCTAAATGGGAAATAATATTATGTTTTTTGACAAGTGTGCTCACCTCTGGGTGTCTGTGGCTTTAGTAACAAATAGTTGTTTTCAAGGAGCCTGTCACATGTCAAGGACAGTTGTACTTAGAGCAGACCCCTTCAGTCTTTGACCTTGAAGAGAAGAACGTTTTCGTTTTCTTTGAGACAAGAAACCATAACCATGTAAACAAATGAATGGGTTAGATAACATCAGGTCTTGATGCAGGGTGGTGATACGCTGGCTCTGGGGGCTGTATAGCTGTGTGCAGGGTCATCTCAGCTAGATGAGTTAACCACAGCCCCCATAATGCGCGCACACACACACACACACACACACACACACACACACACACACACGCACACGCACACACACACCCATCAGATGGAACAACCAACAGCTGTCAGTTCCTCACCCTGTATGCTTCAGCTAATAGAAAGGTTTCTAAGCAGAAGGACTAGAAGTAGAAGCGGACAGAGCTGGATTGGACAGACTGAAAGGCCAGTGGGACTTGAGTTTGTGGAACGGTGTCCTTCGGGGAGCTGTGCAAGGTGGGCAGGGCTGGCTCAGGGAGGATCATTGAGAAACCTGAGAATGGGTACACTGAATAGCAGCACTAGGAAGTTCTGACTCCTCTCTCGCTTTTAGCTTGGACACAGTGAGCAGGATGTTATTGGCCTGCGAGGGCACAGATCTGGACTGGGGATGGCTGCATGTTCCTGGCTTACTCCACTGTAGAGATGTGGAGTAAGGCAGCTTAGGGGAAGATCTTCAGTTTGGAAGGTATCTGAGATTGGCAAACTTGGGAATGCCATAGCCAGATGCCATGGAACCAGCTGAGATCATGTGGGAGAGAATGAAGGTGGAGGAGTCTGAGAACTGGAGGCCTCTAGTGATGCCCAGAGATGTCTGGTCAAAGGAGAAACAGAAGACCTTGGAAAGTGATGCTTGAGGCTGGCTGTGTAGGAAAGATGTCCCCCAGGGAGAAGGCACAGGGCCCTCTAAGATTTCCAAGGGAGCAGTCCTTGAACCGTTCCCTAGGCCTTTCACAGAAGAAACTGGGGGTTTGCCAAGATGACCCTACTCTGGGCACATGAACCTAGTCCAGGAACCCTTACAGTTGCAGACTGCTGGTAAATTACACAAGGCCCATGGAGGAACACTGGATAGAATCACAAAGACAAGCGGGGTCTTGATTCAAGCCAGTCTCATGGGACCTGGGATATCTGACTCTTAATCTGAGATGTTTCCCCACTCCCAGGAGACACCAACACATCCACCATGAGTTTAGTTTGGTAAGCACCACACTGCATCTATCTTATTACATATATTGGCATGTCTTGTTCTCAAAACCCCACTGACTCAACTCAGTCTCTTCAACCTGACCTTCAGTCCACACTCTCCCTCCTCTTGTGCTTGACCCTTCATAAACAAACATAGAGTTCACATGTCCAACCATCTCCTTTATTGGATTCTAACATTCCTGGCCACTTTCTAGCTGCCCCCATCACCAAGGGACCTGCTACAATTGTTCTAACTCTTGCCATAGCTGTGCAGCCTGCCTGTCCTGATGGGTTCATCTCTTCCTATAGATCCTTCAGTAAAGCCTCTTGTGCCTCAGGAAGGCCCCAGTGCTTCTCTTGGCAGGTCCCCATGCCTAATCTAGAACATACATGTGACAAGTTATCTTGTTAACTTAATTTTTGGAACAGGATCTCACTATGTAGCTCTGGCTGGCCTGGAACGCATTATGTCAACTAGGTTGGCCTCAAATTCAAAGACATTTGGCTTACCTCTGCTGGAATTAAAGGCATGCACCACCACATCCAACTGAAAAGTTGTCATTTTTATTTTGTTATGATTTTATCTTTATTTTATGTGTGTGTTTGCTTGCATGTATGTAAGAACACTACATGCATATCTGGAAGGCATTTGAATGTACCAAGACCTCCTTTGTGGACCCAAATATCATCTGCTGTGGTGTCTCATTTTCACCAGAGAGGTGATGCATATTTTTTTGTTGCTGGTGGAATATTCTAAATATTACAGCAGAGTCAGTGGATGGTGTGGTCCAGGCTCCTTTCCAGTGGTCTACCTGCCTGCTTCATCAGATAAGAGAGATGTTGAAATCTCCAGCTTTCATTGCGGGCATGCTTGTTTCTTCATACAGTTTCCCTGAGCTTGCTTTGTGCTTTGGAGATTCTGTCCCTAGGTACAGGAACATTTAAGGTTTTCACAGCTTCTTGATGCAATGACTCTCTTCATTGATTCATTCATTGATCGATTCATTAATCCTAGCAGCATTTGCACAGCTTCTTGATGCAATGACCCTCTTCATACATTCATTCATTCATTCATTCATCCTAGCAACAATACCATGCCCCTTTTAAAAGAAGTCCTCTTTGTCATACAGTCACCCTGCTTTAGGAGGGTTCACAGGTGTGGTGGTTGTCTTGGTTATCAGCTCAACCTGACGTGGAGGCCATTAAGAAGCAAGCTCCTGAGGACCTGTGAGGGGTTTTCTTGCTTAGGTAAATTACATTTACCTATATATGACATTTCTCCTGTTCTTTATTCTTTGGTTGGCTCAGATCTCTGCTTATACCCCTCTGCTTGTACAATCTGGTTCTTCCTGAAGTGTACTGATAGATTCATTCTGCTTTTGTTCAACTGGGAAAGTCTTCACTTTATCAAGTATATTGTTCCTCATATGAATCATTTCTCTGTCAGTGACTTAAAGGTGTTTTTTACTGTCTTTCCCTCTCCTCTGGTGTACACAGTTTCCAGAGAAATCTGCTCTTGTCCTTTCTCTGCTCCTTGTATGCAATGTGCATATTTTCACCCATCTGTTGCTTTTATAATTTTCTCAATCAAGTAATTTGATCATACTCTGTAAAACTGTGCTGCTTCAAGACAATGCATTATTTAAAATAGGGCTGTTGCAGAATATGCATTTGAAGTTTCTCTTTGTTGGTTAGTTTTGTTAACTTGACTCATGCTGGGAAAAGGGACCCTCAATAGGAAAAAAAAAGTCTCCATCAAATTGGCCTGCAGGCCAGGCTGTAGGACATTTTAAAAAATGGATTATTGGTGCGAGAGGGCACACCCCACCGTGGGAAGTACCACCCCTGGACAAGGTAGCCCTCGGCTGTAGAAGAAAGCAGACTGAATAGACATTAGGAGCAGGCTGGTAAGCAAGATTTCTCCATCAGTTCCTGCCTCCAGATTTCTGCCTTGACTTCCCTTCAGGAGCAAGTGTAAGCTACCAGATGAAATAAACCCTTTCCTCCTCACACTGCTTTTGGTAACAGTGTTTATCAGAGCAATAGAAGCCAACTAGGACACAAGTTCTCAAAATCTTCTAGTTGGTAGAACAATTTTCACAAGTCAAACCCACTTCCCATCTCATCTCTTTCCTCAGTAGCTGACTGACTAATCTGGCCTGACCTGTCTGAGCCTTGATTAGGTCACTTGCCACACTTGTCCTGTTATTAGGGCACCAGTCTCTTTTGTCCCAGCTCAGAGGAAGGATACAGACTCACATTTCCATCTGAGTGCTTAAAGCATGTCTACAGGAACAGGCCGGTGTGGGGAGGAGCTGTACATTTCCCAGAAGGCTACAATTCTCCACTCTGTTTAAACAGTTAGTGAGTGTGCCAGCATTCCTGTTTGAAGGCACACACCGAGGTCCTGCCCTTAGCCCTCTGTCCCAGATGAAATTAATGGCATTGGAATTGAGTCTCTGTCATCTTGTGCTCCAATACCCTAGCAGACTTGTAACAAGAAAGAATTAGGGCACAGCTCAAACACAGAAGTGGAAAAAGAAATGGGCTGAAATCCACGGGGAGAGCTTTCTACTTCTTCATCTGTCTCCTGGCCCAAATAGCTCGGCTCTCCTCCCCCGGCCCATGTTTGTGTGTTACCTTTCTCTCTCTTGTGGCAGATGCTGACTGGTGGTCCTAAACTAGGTCAGAGAAGATGGTGGTGGATGGATGCAGCCCTCGGGCTTTGTCACTCCATGTCTTCATGCCTGGCAGGCTTTCTGTGACATATCAGGGTGATTCCTGGTCCCCAGAACCAACAATGGGTTCAGAGAATCTCT